TGTACTTCTCGGCCTGCCTCCTGACTGCAGGGCGAGGCAGTCCAGGAGGCTGCTCTTGCCAATGCCGAAGGGAGTCAGGGGCTGCCGCTGCAGCTCCTGCTTGAGGCAGTCGTGGGAACAGGCTAAAGATAGCCTGTTCCCGAAACCCTGGTTTTGTGCCTGAGTATTAGGGTAGGTCGATCTTATGAGGGCCCGAAAGTGGCCCTCCGTTTCAGGCTGAAAAGGCTCAGGGATGAAAAGCCCTGTTTTAGGCTGAAACGACATAGGGCCTGCAGGCCCTCGTTTTTCAGTCTTTCAGGCTGAAAAGACAGGGGCCTGTAAGCCCTTATTTCTAGGCTTTTAGGCTGGAATGCGGGACGGGCCCTGCAGGCCTGTGTGGCTACGCAGTATGCCACACCCCCCCCTACTTGAAAGACCGAGCTTACCTGCGAGGGCGAAGCTGTCTGTCTGAGGGAGGGACCACAGTCCGGGTGGGAGGGGCAGGTCGTGAAGGTCCCTGAGCTAACCTTTGTCGCTTGTAGTGAGCGTAGATCAGCGGTGCGGATGCTTTCAAATCTGTTCMTGAAATCCACCGAGTGTCGTCGGGATCGCATGCTTTAAACGTAACTTTGTACTGTCGAGGCTTGCTGCCGTACTTGCGATCCGTGATGACGCGGTCAACTTCCTGATGACCATCCATAGATGGAGGGTCCTGCGATCGTCGGCCCGGAAAGTCGTCGCTCTTAGCTGGTGTATATGTTGCCAGCTTCGAGGCATGAAAAACTGGATGGACCATCAGATGCGGGGGGATATTGATCAAATGAAGGGCCATCGGGCTCATAGCCCGCGGCTGATGTTACGGGCCATAGTCCAAACCACTTGGGAAGCAGTTTGCGTGAAACATCCTGTTCCAGTGCAAACTCTTCCGCGGAGACCCAAACCAGATCACCGGCGCGGATGGGACATGGCACGCGACGCCTGTTGGCTTGCTGCTGCATGCGGACTTGAGCCTTTTGCATATTCGCGCGGGCTTGAGCCAGCAATTCCCTGTACTTCCAGACGGAAACGGGAGAGCAAGCGACGTCGATGTCGGCTGGTCGTGGGAGGAGAAGGTCGGCGAAGATACGGCCTTTCCGTCCACCGTGGTGCAACTCGAATGGAGTCACGCCGATCGCCGGGTGCACTGAAGTGTTGTAGGCGAACTCGATGTCGGGGAGGCGGTCAACCCAATCTTTCTGGTCCGGACGGATGAGCATACGAAGCATCATTTGAGCGGTTTGATGTGCCCGCTCCGTTTGCCCGTCCGTCTGTGGATGCCGAGCCGAACTTGGTTTCATATTCGTGCCGGACTCCTGCATGAGAGCAGTCCAAAATGCCGACATGATGCGAGTGTCGCGGTCGCTGACTATGTCTTCCGGTACACCGTGGCCACAAATCCAACCGGTGTCCAAGAGGTGTGCCAGCTCGGGAGCCGTGGAGTAGTACTTGCAAGGGAGAAAACACGCATACTTACTCAAACGGTCCACAACCGTGAGGATGCCGTCGTGCCCGAGGCGATCGCGGGGAAATGGTCCGGTGACATCCATGGCAATGGAGAGGCCGGGTTCCCGTGGGATAGGCATCGGGCGCAACTCGCCGTAGGGGTTGCGATTGCGGGGCTTGCTTCGTCGGCATACTTCGCAAGAGTCGCAATACCGAGTGACATCGGTAATGAGGTCGGGCCATCGGAATCGTTGTCGAAACCCTGCAATGGTGCGGTTGACTCCGAAATGGCCGTTGAGTCGCGAGTCATGATGCCTGGCCGGCGGGTGATCCGAATATAGTTGGGCATACAACGTGGCGAAGTCCGGATCAGACTCATAGCCCCGGATGAAGTGTCGCTAGAGTTCCTCGTCGAATGCGAAGGCATGATGTGTCATGGCGCAAAGATCAGGTCATCGCGAGAGTGCATCTGCTGCGTGATTGGAGAGGCTGGGGAGATGTTTCGGTGTGAACTCAAATTGGTCGATGAAGTACATCCATCGTCCGATCGTGCTGCTCACCGTATCCTGCGTCTTGTAGTAGGTCAATGGGTTGTCGTTCGTGACCCATGTGAACCTACGACGCCCAAGGAGGAAGTGCCGCCATCGCTTGAGAGCCATCACGAACGCGAGCAGCTCCTTCTTCCTTGCATCATCAAGCGAATTGATGGGAGGCACTTTGTGGCTGAAATACTCCACAGGGTGCCAGTCGTCGCCGTCATGTTGTTCCAACACTGCCCCAATGCCGTAGCCGGAAGCGTCAGTTGTCACTCTCGTAGGCAGGGTGGGGTCATAGATGCTAAGGACGGGTGCCATGAGCATGGCCGTCTTAAGTGCTTGGAATGACCGGCGTGCATCGTCATCGAATACGAATGGCACCTTTGGCGATTGTAATCTCGTTATAGGTGCAGCAATCCTTGAGTATCCGGTGATGAATCGCTGATAGTAGCCCGCCAACCCCATGAAGGAACGGACGTCCGTGGTGTTGGTGGGCTCGGGCCATACGCGGAGGGCCTCGATCTTGTCCGCAAGCCGACGGATGGCTTGCGGCGTCACATAATGTCCCAAGTACTCCAGCTCCTGCCGCGCGAATTCACATTTGTCGCGGTTGGCTTTGTACTTGGCTTGTCGTAGCCGCTCCAAAACGGTGCGCAGGTGTTCCACATGCTCGTCCAAATTCCGGCTGTACCTTAGGATGTCGTCGAGGTAGATAAGTACGAATCGATCCAGCATGTGTCGGAACTCCGTTGTCATAGCCGCTTGGAAGTGGTCGGGGCATTCGTAAGGCCAAATGGCATAACCAGCCATTCGAAATGCCCATAACGCGTCTTAAACGCGGTCTTGTAGCAGTCCTCCTGCCGAATCTCGAGTTGGTGATATCCCGACTTGAGGTCGAGCTTGGAGAAGAACTTGGCGCCGCCCAGTCGTTCGAGAAGGTCGTCGATGCGTGGAAGAGGGCCGACGTTTCTGATCGTTTGCGCGTTGAGTTTGCGATAATCGATGCACAACCGCAAATCCTTGTTCTTCTTCCGAACGAACAGAACAGGGGCACCGTATGGCGATGAGCTAGGCCGAATCCAGCCTTTCTCCAGAACGTTGTCGAGTTGTGCCCGTAGCACACTTAACTCTTCCTCGCTCATTCGGTAGATGCAACCGCGCGGAGGCACAACCCCATCCTCGCGCATGTTCTCTTGGCGGATGGGCCGATCCGGTACTACTCCATGCGGGCCTTCGAACATGTCGCCGTAGGCGTCGAGAAGCTCGGTGATGCATGGGTCCGAAGATGAGTCCGTCGATGAAGCGTCATGGGGCGGGAGGGCGTGGAGAAAACACACCCCCATCTCCTCGTTGTCGTCTCTGATGATGGAAGCTCGCATGCTTGCAGCGGACACCACGTGGCAGTCGATCGAAGGGTGAGGAGGAGCTACCGTGCATGGGACTAGTACTCCGTTCCGATCACGAACGTGAACGGTGCGGCGGTAGAAGTTCACCGGTTGATCCTCGCTTCGCAGCCATGACATGCCCAAGATCATGTCGAATTTGGTGTCCAAGATATCGAAGGACACCGCCTCGCTTGCGTGCGGGGCAAAGTACACGGGGACGTCATCTATGCACCGGTCGATTGACTTATGCGTGTGACCGTCTGCCAACGTGACTTGCGTAGGTTGGGACTTCCTCCAGACGCGTGGGCCAAGGTCGGCGCGTACCATAAAGTCCTGGCTCATGTAGTTGCGAGATGCTCCGCAATCGATCAAAGCGCTGCAGGTCGCCTCTCCGATCTGAATGCGTACATATAACAATGGTGCGTCGATGTTGTCGTACCGTTGCGTCTTGAACTCGCGGTCGATCTTCACATGGGTCACGGATAACAACCCGTTGACCTACTACAAGACGCAAGATACGGTGAGCAGCACTATCGGACGATGGATGTATCTAATCGACCAATTTGACTTCACACCGAAACATCTCGCCGGCCTCTTCAATCACGCAGTAAATGCACTCTCGCGAAGACCCGATCTTTGCACTATGACACATCATGCCTTTGCGTTCGACGAGGAACTCCAGCGACACTTCATCCGGGGCTATGAGTCTGATCCAGATTATGCCACACTCTACGTACAGCTATCTTCGGATCACCCGCCGGCCAGCCACTACCACATCGTCGACGAGTACTTGCTTCTCCACTCGCGAGGCAATGACTTATTGTGTGTTCCACCAAACCGTCGTCTTCGGACTCGGCTTCTCGGCGAGTACCACGACTCGCGACTCACCGGCCATTTCGGAGTCAATCAGACTATCACATGACTTCGGCAACGATGTCCGTGACCCGACGTCATCACCGACATCACGAGATACTGCGATTCTTGCGAAGTTTGTCGACGAAGCAAGCCCCGCAATCGCAACCGTTATGGCAAGTTGCCCGAGTTGCCTATTCCCCAAGAACCAGGCCTATCCATTGCTATGGATGTCACCGGCCTGTTTCCCCGTGATCGCTTCGGGCACGACGACATCCTCACGGTTGTTGACCGTTTGAGTAAGTTTGTGCGGTTTCTTCCATGCAAGTACTATGCCACGGCTCCCGAGCTCGCGCGACTCTTGCACATCGGCTGGATCTGCGGCCACGGAGTTCCGGAAGACATCATTAGCGACTGCGACACTCGGTTCATGTCGGTATTTTGGACTTCTCTCATGAAGGAGTCCGGCACCAAAATGAAACCAAGTTCGGCTCGACACCCATAAACGGACGGGCAAACGGAGATAGCACATCAGGCTGCTCAAATGATGCTTTTTACGCTCATCCATTCGGATCAAAAGGATTGGGTTGACCGCCTCCACACGGGCCCCGCAGGGCCCGACCAGGCCCTGCGTCGGTTTAGCCTAAGAAGATGAGCCAATTTTAGGCCCTCTTAAAGTCGACCCTTTTCTGAACTTAGGAGCCAGACCAGGGCTGAGCGCAGGCCATTTTTAGGCCCTTTTCAAGACAACCTTTTTTTTGGAATTTGGGTGCCAGGGACTGGCGCCATTCGGCATTGGCAAGAGCAGCCTCCCAGCCGGACCAGCGCTATATAGTGCTGGTCTGCCCGGGAGGCAACGGGCAGTTCAGGAGGCAGTCTTCGGAGATTCGGCAGCAGCACTCTTGGGAGTGCAGTAGTAGTAGAGTATGATAGGAGTAGTCTTCAGCGCTGGGCGCAGCTAAGACCTTAGAGTAGCGTGGAGAGGGAGGAGAGTGGCGAAGGCCAGGGAGACTTACCTGGGACCTTACTTGTGACTTCATCGCTCCAGCTTCGTCTTCGATGTACCTGAGACAAGGCGCCACCTTCCACAGGTTAGTACCTGGCATGGAGAGAGAGAGAGTTCTTCTTCTTCTTCCTCCTCCAGTCCACCATCTCTCCCTCACCCTCTCACTATCTGACAGACTACGAGGGAGAAAGAGAGATAGAGATTTGTGACTTCGAGATTTGACAACATTTGGATTCCGACTCGACATTGGGACAGCGACATTGGATGGGGGGATTATTTGGGATCTATATCGAAGACTTGGTGTTGACGACATCCTCATCCTTCCCTTCCTCTTCGTCTGATCCCCCTCCTTTTCATCTGTGTATGATCTGAGCCTGGCACATTCCTCCTGTGTGTAGCGCCAGGCCCCTTCACACCTTGCGATGATGATGATGTATGTTTGGTCTGCATTGCGACATTGATTGGTCTGATCATTGGTATTTTAGCCTTCCGCTGCGCTATCCTGTAGTATGTGAGAGAGGTCGGTTCTTGTTCTGGTCTGCGCCATTACGGTATGCGACAGTCCTACTTCTGGATAACTCTGAGATTTGGGCTGAGGTTAGTCTGTTGTGTCCCTTCACCTAACAGCTGTTTTGAAAAGGCTTCTATGATTTTATCCTTATTTTAATATTTTCTATATTATTATTTTCTTCTATTTTTCTGTGTGTCTTCTTCCAGCATCCTCTATACTCTACTTCTATTAATTTTAGTTTTCCCTCCAACGCCTCCTGAACCCGCATTGGTATTCTTGGCATTGGTATTCTTGGCATCTGCGCTTCCAGATCATTCATAATGAAGCCAGTCTTAGCATATGGAAAAAAATTGTCTCGTAGCCCTGCCACTCCCGAGGAGCGTGCAGTCCTGGCAAAATTAAGACAGGGTGGGAAGGGAGAGGTTTGCCTGTTAATTTTTGCCATAGCTCGGTCACATTCGACCAGAGTTGCTTTGCTTTCTGACAACTCAGTAGGCAATGTTCCACATCCTCCACCCTACCCTCGAGGCAGATTGCACAAAGTTCCTGCAGAGGGGAGCGTGACTGTATGCTCCATCTCTTGTTCAGCCATTTGTTAACTGGTAGGGCAAGATGTGCAAGCAACCATTGAAAGCTTCCAATTTTGATGGAAATGCTGGCGTTGATTCTACTCCAGGATGTGATATGGGTAATTAATTGATTTTACTCCAGCTTGGTGGCTGATTGAGTTGTGATTCCGATCTTTGGCTAATTCATTGAGCTATGGGATGTGATATCATTCTTAGTGCATATCCTACCTTCATGGTGTATTGTAGAATGTTAGTTCACTTCTGTATTCTGAGTCGTCCTGTTCACAGTTTCTGTAATGCGCGCGAGGCTGAGGGAGAGCCGAGGGAGAGGAGAGAGAGAGGGAGAGAGGGAGAGAGTGAGAGCACACACACACACTCACTCACACGACACGACTGAGGGCAGTCTGGACCCTCGAAACGGAGCCCAGACGACGCAGGCCAAACCCGGCCTGCGCCAGGCAGTGTGACCACACATTGCCCTTGGGAAAATCAAAAGTCTAAGTCAACTGTCAGGTCAAAGGTATCACACCCAGGCCCTTGGTCGGATAGACTCACTATATATATATATATATATGTATATATATATATATATATATATATATATATATTTGTTGTGCGCAGGTACCCAGACAGCATCGAGGCCAGAAGGAATTCGGTTTCAGGTCAATCTGGGCCGATATTTGCATTGGAATCTGGACGGTTGAGGGATGCGGCATCCGGGGTCCAGACCCCGCGTCAACGCTACTAAAGCTCTGACTTCCTGACTTCGACATTCATTCAGTCTTGCGTCAATGCTGACTTCACGCGTTGACAACGACGCTGGCTCGACGCTGCTACTCTGGTTGGGCGCTGGCTTTGTTTGTGTGATTATGGCGACGCGATGCTGGCTCAGCATGGTGGCTGGCTTGCTATTGTCTTCTGGGCATGCTGACGTGGCAGCTGCCACGCGTTGCTGCTGACGTGGCCATTGCCATGTGTACTGTTGCTGACGTGGCTGGGTTATGTGATTGGCACTACTGTTCTGATTCATCGTCACTCAGGAGGAGATCATGACTGTGAAGTAATCGTGGACACGTACCTGGTCATCTTGAGGTCGACATTGCTCTAGTGCGCTGATGAGAACATATTGGCGTGCCACATGGCACATTGTAGTAGAACTTTAGATGTGCGTTCAGACTATTGATTATTTGAGGTGGTGATCGAGGAGGAAGCCCGAAGCAGAAGTGGGCATTGGTCTTTATTCCTCTTCTTTGTCTAATTTCCCTCCTCTCTCCTTCGTCTGTCTATGATTCTCCCATCTCATTTTATCTCGGCACGATTATGATTATTGGTAATCATCAGCAGTTTGGTATGTATCTGGGCTTGCATTGTTGACAAGTGTCTTCACGATCTGGGTTCATTGCAATTTGGTATCGGAGCATAGTCCTGACGACGACGCGCGTGCGCCAAGTGGCGTCATATGATGTGATGACAACGAGAT